ACGACATCGACCATCAATAAGTGGACAATGTTGAAAAAATATATAATGATCCACGACATTTGGAATTACAAATTTTTTTTCTTGGCGCGACAAGCGCATTTATTGTTTTTGCACCCACCTTTACAGTGACAACGCTTATATCCTTATTTTCCAAAAACAGTGTTTTGTGTTGCAGCTTCTCTAAGTGAGATTTCTTTTTCTTTAACGGCGTCACTAAGGTTTTCCAATAATATAAGCTTCTCCAAACATGGATTAAATTCAGATCTTGTAAATTTTTGCTGTATTTTATTCAAACCCAAATCTTTGCGGTTTGCGGCCCACACATAGTTGGGCGCTAACGATAACGCCCAGGCAGAGTCGTAAAAAGGCTAAGTCATTTATAGTTTATCGACATTGTCAAATTTAAGCGGATGTTAACGTTATTGGCCGGTTATTATCAATAATGCCCAATCAAATAGGAGATTTACGACAATGACCGGCCAATATCGTTAAAGACCGAAATATCATCTTTTACCATACTACTCATTCTAAATCGTATGTGGCATATATGGATTATTCAGAAAGACAGGAAGAATTATTCTAACCCAATTCTTACGACTGAACGTGGTATTTAAACTTAAATTTTCGCTTTAAGCTAATGCATTAGAAAAAGAACGATTCAGAAATTTGACTTTCACTTAATTGTAGTACTTTATAAGTGCAACATATGTTCTGCAGAACATACCCAAAGTCCGAGCTTGTTCCGAAATAACTTAAACCCAACAAACAAAAGACGTGAGAATAAAAACCGATTCATATTTCCTTGAAAAGCAATAAACTATTTAAGAAAAAGGTTTTACAGTATTTAAAGGATATGATGTTTTATATGCTGTGATATAATAGTGAAATATTCGAAATTATCCATACACAAACATTTTTTTGGTTAGTTAGTTTTAATTTTATTGAATAGATAGAGCAGGACAATACTGTTAAAGAAGTAAATGAAGTATATGATTATTGCAAAGTTCCAAGGGTCGTAAAATGGTTTTATATTCTGGATATCAACATTATCTGAATCGCAAACACCAAAACGGATCGGTAAATTGGCACTGTGTAAATCGGAACAAGTTGGTGGTAGTTTAACAACAGAAAATAACAAAATTGTTAATAAAATTAAACAAGGTAAATGCAAAAAAAGGACCCGAGAATTATTAAACCCAATACCAGAGAAATTTAATGAGGAATTCTCTGAAATTAAAGATGCAAATTTAGATTTCGTAATAAAAGTACCTCTATTTTCAAACAATAAGAGCATTTTATATAAAGGTCGCAACCGAGCCCTAGGCCTTTCCAGTTTTTTAAATAGAAGGGAAGTAATAATCTACAAGAGTTAGGAGATTTTTAATTATTGATGATACGGACGAAGAAGCCAATATAGTGTGCTTTCTGTAGCAAGTATGGCCGTCAATGCCTACAAGAAGAATCGAGAAATTTTTTTGAAGATTACAAAATAATGTATGCTTTATAAAATCAACGCATTAATTATTATTTTCGACAATAACTATGTAGATATTTGAAATAATCAAATGAATAGTTTAGTATAATACGCAGTGCGAAATTGGACGGTACAAAGTGGGGATAATCCCAACTGTGCACCCTCTGCTTCAAGCGAACATGGATTCCATCTTACTACATGAACTACATTAAATCTGTAGGCTGGCCCACGAGCTAGTAGATACCTATCATCTTAGGAGGATGCACAATGGGCCTAATGAGGCCCAAGCACCCTCCACACGTTACAGATGCAGGGTGCACCAACGATAACTTAGAAAAAAATAACTATTTTTTTTAAATCATTAAGAAGGTAATTTTATGGAGAATTCAGCATAATGAATATTCATTCCATTTCTTTCGGTTTCAGCGTTACATATTGTAAAGTCTGACACTTCATTTGAGAGCTAATTTAATGCCCAACATAATAAAACATAATGGAATGAAACACGAACTTGGGGAATTGAAAAATCTTGCAGAGTTTTAATGATAACGTTAATAAATATAATTTCGATCGTAGTCAATCAAAATTATAAAATTATGCTGTGCATATTATTACAATTTACATTTACTCGCATTTTTATGAAGGATTTTATAAGAACATCTAACTTCCTACTTGTTATAAAAGTTGTGCAACATTGAAACTTTTCAGAACAATGTTACTAAGTTTATTCATGACTATTCCTTTATATTTTTGAAGTTCTATAAATGCTTTACAATTTTTTTGTTTTTTATACATGGTGTCACTAAAACATATTCCTGAAGTTTAAATATGACCATCTAACTCAAGTTACCTCTAAGTCCAAAAGTGAATATTTCGGAAATACAGAGCATAAAAATATTTGGCTAGAGGGAGTTTTGTGGGGTGAAAAATTAAAACTTGCTCTCATTTTTATTGTAAAATTTAAAAAGAACCAATTTTTTTTAAAATCGAGGTATCTCAAAAATGGCTGCCCAAATTTACTCTTACCATTTAAACCCTTTTTATAGGGGCCAGCCACCAGCTAGAAAAAAGCCTATATTCTAAATAATTGAATCGGTGAGTCAAAGGACAGTACAAGTCCAAAAATGGCATTATGAATAAATTAAAAGAAAACTATTTTGTTATTTGACATGTACATATCAAATGTACAGCTATTTAAGATAAATGTAAGAGATCATGTTTCAACTATTAAAAAGGGTTTGTATCTGACATATTTAAAAAAATATTTGTGGACATGTACTGTTTTTTAAGTCAATTATATAGTTTATATTTTATTTTTAGTAGCCTATTGTGGACATGTACTGTTTTTTAGGTCAATTGTATAGTTTATATTTTATTTTTAGTAGCCTATTGTGAACATGTACTCTTTTTTAAGTCAATTATACAGGGTGTTTTTTAATATTGCGAAAAAATTCAGAGGCGTGTCCCTTGGACGAAATGAAGCAAAAAAGTTCTTATGAACATATGTCCTACGCCTCTTAGATGTTGAACTACAGGGTGGTAAAGTTATAAGAAAAAACTTATTTTATTTGATATATTTAATACCGCTGTAGATATTTTTCTGAAAATTGGTTCGCAGTTTCTATGCATCCAAAGCCATTTTCCGATACACAATTTAAACTTTTACATTCGCAAAAAATAGGTTTTTTCTTATAACTTTACCACCCTGTAGTTGAAAATCTAAGAGGCGTAGGACATATGTTCATAGAAACTTCTTTGCTTTATTTCTTCCAAGGGACACGCCTCTGAATTTTTTCACAATATTAAAAAAACACCCTGTATAGTTTATATTTTATTTTTAGTAGCCTCTATTTTATAAATAATGCAAGGATGACAAGTAAACTATTATAACATATTATTGCAAAACACATGCACCCCCACCACCACTCAGCATCCACTTCTTCGGTTTCATCGGTTGCGGATGTGGTCCAGGAGGTGACGTGATTGTAAAATTTCAGCAATTCCCCTGTAATATACTTCATTACCTTTTTTATGACATTTATTTTTTTTTTCACATTTATTGGAATTTGTTGTTCGTATGCGCATTTGATAGGAAGGGGTAAACAAATGTTTTTTGCTTTATTAGTTTAAAGCTTTGAGATACTAGACCAGCTACATGTTCATAAGTTTTCACATATCCACTGGTGTCATATACAAACTGTCTATAATTTGACAGAGAAAACTCTTCATTGCTTCCTACAGCAGTTGTATTTTTTTTGTAAAACTGAGGCTTCTAATTTTTAAAATCTAGAAAGATTGGAGAAGAATTTTTATTTAAAAGTTAAATAAAAAATTTCGTTTTAAATGTGTGTAAGGTACCGCAGATAGCGCCCTTTAAATGAGAGCAGTTTTTAATTTGTCACCCCACAAAACCCCCCTTAGCCAAATATTGTGAAAATATACCAATTATTGAAAAATTATTTATGAAAAATTAAAACCAAATTGAACTTTTATTACTCTGTATTTACGAAACGATCCACTTTTAGACTGTGATAAGTTGGGTTAGATCGTCATATTTAGGCCTCAGGAATATGTATTAACATTTTCCACACCTGTATATTACTTATTTAAATAAAGTTGAATTTTAATTGTCTTCTTAAAATTAATAAAGTTTATAGTATAGGATAAACATTTTTAGCACTTTTTTACACCACTCTCTTCTAGTTGTGACGTCCCAGTTAGAAAGATAAAGTTTTTTAACTAGTTGTCATATTCAGAATATCAATTTTAAGAGAAATCCCAAAATAAAGTTGAATTTTATAAGTATCATCTCAAAATTAATAAAGTGTATAGGATAAACATTTTTAGTACTTTTTTACACCACCCTCCCCTAGTTGTGACACCCCAGTTAGAAAGATAAAGTTTTTTAACTAGTTGTATCATTCAGATCAATTTTAAGAGAAATCCCAAAATAAATAAAGTTGAATTTTATAAGTGTCGTCCTCGCTGTCGTCTAAAAATTAATAAAATGTATAAATATTTTTAGTACTTTTTTTACTCCACTCTCCCCTAGTTGTGACGTCCCAGTTAGAAAGATAAAGTTTTTTAACTGGTTGTCACATTTAGAATATCAATTATAAGAGAAATTCCAAAATTTGAAGTATTTCTCGCTACCGGTTTTGTAAATATTGTCAGAAAACCATCTTCTGGGGATTTTCTTCAAAGGGGGATTGCTCCCTTATCGGGCATAATTAAAGAATGTTCATGGGAACTTTCTGTCTTATTTTCACGTTAAAATATTTATCTCTAATTTTGGAACACCCTGTATGACTCCAAAATATCAGGTATAATGTATTACCTTATCTAAGAGATTTGTTTTTTTTAAGAAATTACTAATAAATAATAGTAACTACTCACAAAGCTAGTACAAATATGGCAAACAAGTTTACATGTGTATACATTTAAACGTGACTTTGCAACAAATAACTCATTGACACTAAACTAAAGATGAAAGAATGAAACATACAAAAACAAAACAATAACATACCTGACGTTTTTTCTTCGCGCTTATCCTGAGACACTTGCCAATTGGTATGTCGGACGACGACATCATTTTCCGGCACTACGGTTGTGGTATCCGACGTAACGACACTAACTTGTTGATAATTGGGGGCGGAATCTTGGGTTATCATCACTAGACTCGTGTAACGCGCGGCATGACGTGCCTGAACCTCGCCAGAGACTATCGCACCTGGTTGAACACCGTCGTTACGAGCGTGCAATAATGATTTCCCCTCTACGCTAACGGCATCGACAGACCGAATCTGGTTCCATTCACCGAGCGCACACTGTTCATCGGCGCCCGCTGCTGCTGGAGTTTCCCTTCCGAAGACGCTGTCCATTGATCGCGCGCTATCACTGACCGGACAGCTGATATCGCTAATGAGGCGCTCATCCTTAATAAGCTCCTTCGTAGAAGAGCCAATGCTGTGTTGATCCAAACTATCGATATCGTCGTTATTTAACAACATTCCTTTCGTATTTTTATCATCATTATCGTCGTCGTTATTGGCAGACAAATCATTTTCTTTTATAAAACCGTTCCTTTCTCTAAACAAGAAATTATAGGTAGCGACTTTAACATCGTAAATTTCTTCAATAAAATAGTATTCTTTGCTACCTGTATCACTTTTTTTACCATAATTATTTTGCGAAAAGAGTTCGTTAACCTCGTTATTTACAGCGTCATTAGCGGTTTCAATAACTTGATCGACATCACTAGAATTCACGGATTCAGCACTAACATCGGACAGTCCTGGGCTGGACGATACGTATTCGTTTTCTTTCTCGCTTTTAATTTCAATATCAGGATGATTCTCACTAATAATTTTATCACCGGGTTCATTATCACAGACTCGATTATCGCTAAGTTCCTCAACATCTTCGTCCAATTGTTTCATATTGGTTAGGATAACAGTGCAGTCCATTTCAGTATCGGTATCATTATCGGAACTGTCGGTATCACTGCTGCAACTTGATGTATCGGACGAAGAAGATAAGTTCTTATTAACCACGAAAATTCGCGAGAAACGCTTGGGTTTTTGATCGGCGACGGTGCCGGTATCATCGCTATCAGTATCAGCAGAACCCGATGAAGACATATCGTCCTCCCTTACGGAACTTTGCGACATACGCCCGTCTTCCTCGTCGCAATCGCTAGTAACGTTACTGCTAGGCAAAGCATCGTCGCTAAGTCGATCGGTACCGCTGACGTTATACACCCTATGCACTCGCGGTTTCGGTCTGTCATCAGACCCGTCACTGGAATCACTAGAATCGCTGGAGGACACGTACCGATTCTCGCACTCTAAATACCCGGTAAGTTCTTCTTCTTCCGCTTGACCGCTCGCCGGAGCGTCAGGTTCTTTGTGCGTTTGTACATCACGGTCGGTCGACGCGGGCATAGTGGTATCGTCCGTACCGCCGTTGATGCCGAGTGTCGGCCAGATAAGGGCGGCCTGGCTCAGGTACGGCCACAGGTTGCGCGGAAGCACTCGAAAGCGCTGCTCGCCGAAGAGCATCAGCGGTGGTTCGTGGTGGTGGGGCCATAGGGCGGGCACCGGGAATGGTATCGGTACTGGTACCGGAATGGGGATGTATTGAGTGGTGGCGCCGCAAGCGTGGCAGGAGGGTTTTTGCGAAACATCCTCAGGATGAAGACATTGAAGCGCGGCTCTGTCCTCCGGGGTTTTATCGGCGGTTCCGGTGGGTTGGGGAACGTCGAATGGTTCTTCGGCGTGAATGCGGGAGTGGAATATGCTGTCTGAAGACGCGGGGGAACCACTGTCTTGGCGAGTATTGTCTTCATCGGTGCCGGTGTCCGATTCACGCAAGCGTCTGTAAATTGAAAATTTTTAATTGGTTAGAAAATCCCATGAAAAATTAAAGTAATTCAAGAAATACAATAGATACATACTTTATTCTCATTAATTGAAAATTACAACTCTACCATAAACTAATAATTTTGTTGACAAATTTTATAAAACACGGAGTAAAAGAATGTAATGAAAATGAAAGAGAAAAATAAGAACAAATAAAATTCAAAGGAATAAACATGGAAAGATTAAAAGTATAAATATTTGGACAGCACTTGGGTGAATAAATTAACAAGGTTATAATATACGTTAAGTAAGGTCACAAAGAAATATACAGGGTGTTCCATTAGTGTACAATTGTTCAATATTTCAATTTGTGTTATAAACACGCAAAACAGTTTCAAATAAAAGTTATATGGATTTGAAAAATACATATTTTAAAGGTATTTATGGATATACAGGGTGTTGCGTTTTTGCCTGGCAAATAAAAATGTATTTTATTTTATTTTTGCAATGGTTTGATAATACTGTATTCAACCCTAGAAAATTTTTAAAAAAATATTACAATATTGTAATTAGAAAATGATACAGACCTCAAATTAAATTATCATATGATTTTAAAATTGTTTAATATAAAAACTTATAAGATACTAAGCTAACAAATAGTGGTGATTGGACTGGTTTATTTTATACAGAGTGTTTTAAAACATGTCTTAATTATGGCTAATTTTAAGTTCAATTTACTCAATTTTTTTCAAATACAACATTCTGTATATTATTTGTTCATTAAATAAAATTCCTAATTAATTTATTTGCTATATTGTATATAAGGTGTGTCAAAATGCGTGGTACGGATTTTCTCAATTTTTTAAATGGAATACCTTATATGTTATACCACCAATTAATTAATACAGGGTATTGCATTTAAAAAATTGACGTAATCTCACGTTTTGACACACTCTATATACAACATAACAAATGAATGAATTAAAATTGTTTGACAATGTGAAAACAATCAAATATGTACAGGGTTTTCATTAGTTTGGACAAAAATAAGTTCATTTAAGCCAATTTACCTTGGTAGAATTTTGCATGCTTAAGAAGATACAGGGTGGAGAAAATAATTTTTTTCAATATTTTTAAGATAATTCAAATATTATTTGAGTAAATATACCCAAATTTTGTGAGAATAAGTTTTTTTGGTTGTTACAAACGAATACAAGCTTTTTTTGTTGCATAAAATTTACAGGGCGTTCTAAACTGGCGTGCCAATCTAGTATTAACTTCAATTTTTTTTTAAGAATGGACATTTATAAAAAAAATTTAATTAGTTTGAAAAAGCGTTCAATTTGCTAAATAAATTATAACAAATTAATTCAGAACTTTATTAAATATTTAGTAGATACTGAGACAACGCAAAAATATGATAACATAAATGATAAAAAATATTTAAAATTTACAAATTGAAAAACTTAACAATTTCAAACTAAAAACAATAGCACAAGCGAAAAATTCACTTCAAATTATTTGTTCAAAATGTCCGCCATTTACTTCAATGCATTTTCTACATCTTTTCAAGAAATTTCTTCTAACTACAGAGAATGAATGGTCTTGTCGAATACGAAATAACATTAGCCGTTAACTACCTGCAGAGTGTTTTGCTTTGAAAAAAATATAGATTTGGTAAGCACCTCGTTTATGGATCACCCTGTATATTTAAGAAGAATTGTTAAATATGGTCATTTAACCTTTATATTTTTTTTTTCGTATTTCAATTAATAAAACAGCTATCGATCAATTACGCACTGATGGGACACCCTGTATATGTGTTATTGGCTAACATATTGATATCGTTGTATAGGCAAATTTATAAAAAAATTATGCTAATATATGTAGGTTGTTGCATTTGAAAAAAGTGAATAAATTAAACTTAAATTAGCCATATTTAAAATACTCTGTATAAAATAAACCAGTTTTATCACCACTATTCGTTAGCTTAAATAATTTGAAATCAATGTAAACCAACCTAAATTATGATAATTTAATTAAGGGGCTGCATTTTTCTCTAATTTAAAAAAAAATAATTGCTTGGCAATACTGTAATATTTTTCAAAAACATTCCAAAAATAAAATAAAATAAAATAAAATACAGAGTATTTAAAAAACCTACTTTTATTTGCCAGGCAAAAACGCAACACCCTGTATATATATTAAAATATTTTTAAAATATGTATTTTTCAAATCCATATAACTTTTATTTTAAACTTTTTTGCGTGTCTATTATAGAAATTGAAATATTAAACAAATACGCACTAATGGGACTCTGTATATATGTTGTGTAATTGAAAAAATCCGCATCATATAATAGGAATATTTTTGTTATTTAGTCAACAAATATAGAGTTCATGAACAGTTTTTGCTTCCAAAATAATAAAAAAAAATACGGGTGGCACTCGGGAACTGCCGCGGTAAAGCTATTGCATAGCATTTTTTATCAACTTATGCAATTATATTTATTTATTTTATTTATGCAGTATTTTTTTTTCTTTGATATTAATTCAAGTTACACTTTTTGAGCGTGGTGACCGATAAGAAAACAATTTCTTTTTCTTTTATTGAATAAATGAGAAGTTAATATTGTTTAAAATATTTTTATTATCTTGCAATACAGGTAGGTTATTCAGGAATTTTTATCATTGAAACTATAGGTTTATGGTAACTGAAATAAGAAACATAAGTTTGAAACTTCATATCCTCTAAATATCTGGAAAATATCGCGTCAATGGTGGTCCCATATTTTGTTGTGGATTCTTGTGGATCATTATTCATTTTCAAATTCAATTTTTCCGAAATTGTGTCTAAAAGAGATAGAATCAGTTATGAGCAGTTAGCAGCTAGTCTACACGCATACGTCTAGTCACACCCAAACAAACACCGTGCCGAAGTCTGCCGAACTGAAACGACGTTAGACGAGGCACGGCTTTCAACGCCGCACCGCTGTGCCGGTCGGAGTGGGGGTGTTAGGTTTATTTTCGTTACGGAATTTCTTGATTCGGTCGCCGCGCTCAAAGCCCGCGATAAAAGTTATGCAATATCTTAAAAATGTACCTTTCTGAAGATTTTTCGATTTTTCGATTTTTCGATTCTTCGATTTTTCGATTTTTCGATTTTTCGATTTTTCGATTTTTCGATTTTTCGATTTTTTGATTTTTCGATATTTCGATTTTTCGATTTTTTGATTTTTCAATTTTTCGATTTTTCGATTTTTCGATTTTTCGATTTTTCGATTTTTCGATTTTTCGATTTTTCGATTTTTCGATTTTTCGATTTTTCGATTTTTCGATTTTTCGATTTTTTGATTTTTCGATTTTTCGATTTTTCGATTTTTCGATTTTTTGATTTTTTGATTTTTCGATTTTTCGATTTTTCGATTTTTCGATTTTTCGATTTTTCGATTTTTCGATTTTTCGATTTTTTGATTTTTCGATTTTTCGATTTTTCGATTTTTCGATTTTTCGATTTTTCGATTTTTCGATTTTTTGATTTTTCGATTTTTCGATTTTTCAGTTTTTTGATTTTTCGATTTTTCGAGGATGTTAGGTTTATTTTCTTAATTCGGTCGCCGCGCTCAAAGCCCGCGATAAAATCTATGGAATAGCTTAATAATGAAATAGTTAACACTGATAAAATAAAAATATTAATATTTTATAAATCTTGCAAAAAAAATTAATATCTAATATTTACGCCAGCCGGGAAGATTTGTGATACCAATTTATTAGAAGCCAGATAAAGCTCTTCTAGTTCTTGTATTGCATAAACGTTCCAGTCCGCAGACGTATATTTAACTCCGCTTCATACTAATACAAATAGGGTCAGATAAAACCTTCCACGGCTTTCAACGCCGCACCGCTGTGCCGGTCGGAGTGGGGGGTGTTAGGTTTATTTTCGTTACGAAATTTCTTGATTTGGTCGCCGCGCTCAAAGCCCGCGATAAAAGTTATGCAATAGCTTAAAAATGTACCTTTCTGAAGATTTTTCTATCGATTGGCTATACCTATCCAATTTGATATATTTAAAAAATACAATAAGTTAGATTATTTTTCAAAATTTCTAAATCGTCAAATGAAAAATTTATTTCCTTTCCCAACCCCGTACCAAATTTAATCGACTTTGGACAACTTAGGTAAATTATTCTTTTCGCGATTTTTTGGCTCATTCAAATTTATAAAACAAACTCATATATGCTGACTAAATGGGCCCGTTCACTTTCATTTTTGAATGTGAATTAATTATATATTTATAAAGATATTAAACTCTTTTGTCTGGTGGTACTTTTCCCGTTAAGATATTTTTGCTAGAAGTAAGGAAATTCCCATAAAATTCTTTCAGTGACTCATTGCGTCAGAAAACCCCTAATTCCCTTCAAGTCTCGTATCGGTTAATAGTTAAAAGGGCGCGGTTGTCGGATGTATCATTGCACCACCATTCCTCTTCTGCATTTATTAAAGAAATTTACATTATAAAAATATATTATTTTTTTAAAATAATGTGTTTATATTTTCAGATAAAGCTGGAAGCCTTACCTTTTTTAAATTTTAATAAAAACAATTAGTATTACTCAAGCTGAATATTACCAGATCGAAATTTTATTTGAGAAAATGTATCTGGTAAACGTGACAACGTTGAAAGTACTTCTAAATAGTGTTGTCTACACACACTTCTAGAAATAAATGCAACGTTGCCACGTTTACCAGATAAATATTGCAAATCAAATTTCTACTTTTTGATTATGGTCTGGTTAATTTTCAGCCTGAGTAATAATAATTGTTTTAATTAAAAAGTAAAAAATAAGCTCCCAGCTTTAAATCTGAAAATATAACATCACGATTTTTAGAAAAATAATGGAATTTTACTATTTAAATTACATATATAAATGCAGAAATGGTATATTAGGGATACTTCCGACAACCCCGCCGTCTTTAAGCATAACCGATACGAGACGTGAACGGAATTAGGGATTTT